ATATATTCCCCTTAGAAAGTGCATGAGACAAATTCATAGGATGCATGATCCACGTTTTCACTTGGCTGAACTATTCAAATGAGACATTTTCTTCTGCCCTGGAGGCATAGTGGGTTATGAATTGGGTTGCTAACCACAAGTTTGAATCCACCAGCTGCTCTGTGGGAGAGAGAAGAAATGTTCTGCTCCCATAAAGATTTATGGCCTCGGATACCCTATATAGGGTCACTATGAGTCAGAATCAGCTGGATGGCTGCAGGTTTGGTTTTGATTTTGTTGTTGCTGTTAAGTGCCGTCGAGTCGGTTCCAACTCATAGTGACCCTGTATAAGGATTCCAAGGAGCAGCTGGTGAGCTTGAACCGCCGACCTTGTGGTTCAAACCCATTTGCAGTCTAGCGCATTAACCCACAGCGCCACCCCAGGATTCCTATGTGTGGTCACTCTGAGTAAGAATCAACTTGATGGCAGAGGCTTTGGTTTTGATTTTATTACCTTATGTTAATAGAAATTCATGACAATGTTTAAAACATTGTTATTCAGTCCACCAAAATTTCTTGATGTATTTATTAGGCATTCCTCAGAGCTTAACTGAAATGCATATTTCTGAATTAAAAAACAAAACAAAACCATAGTCCCAGAGATTATAGAGAATCATCATCTAGTTACAATTCCTTCAATGTACCTCCTGAGGTAAGTAATTAACCAGGAGCAGAAAAATTTTAAATAGTAATAGCTTCCTATTTCACTTCTGTTGTATTCCCCATTCATTACCATACCCCCCACCCCCACCCTCAGTGTCCCCAGGCTTATATTCAAAACAGGACCAACACTGACTTATAATCAGCAAGCCCAACTTGAAGGCCCAGTCTGGATGTTCGATGAAAGATACAGAAACGTGCTTATAACCACTCAGTAATGAAGAAGGCCTTACCCAGGGTTACAAGCAAAGCTGATCATGTTGGGATATTCAAAGGTTGTGTAACGCACAGCTCCGTTTTCTAAGATTCCAGCAAAAGGACACACTCTAGCTGTGATTGAGAGAGAAAAAGGTACATTTCTATTTAACGGATTTTCTACTAATATAAACATATAAGCCCATTTTTGTTCTTTGATCCAGTAGCTCTCAGTAGCCCTTCTAAGAAAATAATTTGAGTTAGGTCAAATGATATAAGCACTCAAGTGTTTATTACACTGTTATCTCTAATAACAAAAGTTGGACAATCTAAAGTTCACTGTCAGGGGATTGTTGTAATTTATCATAGTGTGCTAAGAGTTTAATTTATGGGCTCAATTTTCCAGGCATTAAAATTTAGATGCCTAAGTAAGATGTAAAGGAGCTCTGGTAGCATAGTGTTTACGTATCGGGCTGCTAACCTCAAGGTCAGCAGTTTGAAACTACCAGCTGTTCCGCAGGAGAAAGATGAGGCTTTCCCGTAAAGATTTATAGCCTCAGAAACCCTGTACAGAGTCACTATGAGTCAGAACCAACTCCACGGTACTTAACAACAACAATAAAGTAAGATGTTGGAGTCCTGGGGTGGCTCTGTGGGTTAATGCACTAGACTGCAAGGTCAGTTTGAACTGCAAGGCTGGCAGTTCAAGCTCACCAGCTGCTCCTTGGAAACCCTATACAGGGACACTATGGGTCAGAACCAACTTGACGGGCCGTAACAACACCGAGTAAGATGTTAAGGAGCCCTGCTAGCATAATGGGTTATGCACTGGACTGCTAACCACAAAGCCAGCTGTTTGAACATATCAGCAGCTTCTCGGGGGAAAGATGACGCATTCTGTTCCTGTAAAGGTTTACAGCCTTGGAAACCCTATACAGGATCACTGTGAGGCAGAACCAACTTGATGGCACACAACCAGTGCCCCTAAGTAAGACATTAGTTAGAATCATACATCTGGTAGCTAGAGCATCATTTCAGAGTCACAATTTATGCTGCCAATAACATATCAATTCAAAGGGCCGTAGAAACAATAAAATCTTATGATATGCTGAACAAAAGTAGAAAAAATTTTAAATGGTACAAACCCTTTGCAATAATGAGAAAATTTACATGTGAAAAATAAATTGAAAAAATTTTGTTAGTAGTCCAGAGTTAAGCTCATTAGAAGAAATGTTTTTCCTAATGAGGACTTCTGGTATATGGTGCTCTAGAATCAGCCCTGGACTGCAAACCACAAGGTTGGCAGTTCAAACCCACCAGCAGCATCTTGGGCACTGAATAGCAACAACAATGATATAATTTTTCATTGAAAATTACTTTTACTCAAAAAGCATATTAAAACCAGTATGAACATGCATAATTTTAACAGAGACTTTGTTTATTAACCAAAATAATCAGAGCTCATATTAGTTTATGTTGACTGCTTGGCTATTCCATATAATTGTCAACATTTCTATCTGGTTGATTGTCCAATATTTGACTGTAGTAATAATACTAGCATGATGTCTTAAAACTATGGTGTGAGGAAAGAAATGAACATAGTTATCTACAATAAAACCATAGTGATATCTTTATCTCCATGAGGCTTGCTGCTCCTGCAAAGATGCACAGCCTCAAAAACCCTATACAGGGTCTTTCAATCAGAAATGACTCGAAGGCACTTAACAACAATACACACACACACACACACACACACGTTGTTATTAAGTGCCATTGGCATACACACACACGTATACATGTTTATATAGGGTCGCTATAAGGAGCCCTGGTAGAATAGTGGTTACAAATCGGGCTGCGAACCGCAAGGTCAGTAGTTCAAAACTGCCAGCTGTTCTGCGGGAGAAAGATGAGGCTTTCTGCTCCCATAAAGATTTACAGCCTCGGAAACCCTGGACAGGGTCGCTATGAGTTGGAACCAACTCCACGGCACATCACAACAACAACATAGGGTTGCTATAAGTAGAAGAAATGATGCTTTTGAGTTATGGTGTTGGAGGAGAATATTAAAAGTACAAACAGATCTGTGTTAGATGAAGTACAGCCAGAATGCTCCCTGGAAGCCAAGATGACCACCTTCATCTCTCATACTTCGAATACATTATCAGGAGGGACCAGTCACTGGAGAAGGATATCATGTTTGGTAAAGTGGAGGGTCAGAGAAAAAGAGGAAGACCGCCAGTGCGATGGATTGGCACTGTGGCAGCAGCAATGGGCATATGTAGCGATGATTGTGAGGTTGGCCCAGGACTGGGCAGTGATTCGTTCTGTTGTGCAAAGGGTTACTGTGAGTTGGTGCTGAATAGATGGCGCCCAACAACAACATGAGTTTGAAGTGACCCAACAACATGGTTCTGACTCATAGCTACCCAGTATAGAGTTTCCAAGGAGCAGCTGGTGGGTTAGAACCTCTGACCTTGTGGTTCAAACCTACTTTGTGGTCCAGTACTTATCCTACAGTGCTACATCAGGAATTAGATGAAAATTTCTATTAATTCCAGCAACTATCAAATCAGCTTTCAGTTTGAAGCAAAACCTCAAGGCATGACGATCCTCATGTTATCTGTTTCCAAGTGTCTCTTTGGCATCAGTTTACATCTCAGAGTATCTACACTTTTCTTCAAATTTATAGAATGTTTTCTTTTGCTTTTATCACACACTAGCCAGGACTCTTTTAAACCTCTTTGAGTTCTGCACTCAAATCTTCTCTTCCCCAACCAGCGCTTACTGTGTTGACGCTCTTCTCCCATGGAGAACCCTCAGACCTTCTGGTTTCTTAGTAGCCTCTGCTGACACTCCCTACCCTGAGCCTGTTGAGGTTGGTTATCCCAAAGAATGCCCAGAATCCAAAGGAGGGGAGAGAATGTTCCAGAAGGCACCAACTTACGTAGACATTTCAGAGTGTTGATGGGCCACATGCCGGTGAGGGGGCATGTAAACCGTCTCATCCCTCCCCGGGACACATAACCGGGCTGGCAGGAGTATGTAATCTGCTCTCCTGGGTCATAGAATGATTTTAATGGAACAACTACGGCAAAAGGTAAGTCATCTGGCTTGGGACAGGCTGAGATAGAACACAAAACAATTGGTTAAGAAATCTATATTTGAATTTTTTTTTTATTAGACTAAAAATTACTGTTCAATTTTATACATTCCTGAAAAGATTAGCTATAAGACAATATTTAACAGAATATTGTGTTCTAAATTATTTTAACCTTTAAATTCCAAAATTACATATATTAGTCTAAGTCTTTGCTATGTATTTGAATTTTGTTAAGTTCAGCTAGCACAGAAATTAAAAATAAATGGTTAATGCTACTAATAATGAATACGGCAAGTTCTGCACCAAATACATCATATGCAGTATCTCATCAAACCTCCTCAGCACCACTTTGAAGAAAGAACTGTTAGTATCCCCATTGTACAGGTGACTACACTGAAGCTTAAGGAGCTCTGGTAGTGTAGTGGTTACAAATCGGGCTGTGAACTGCAAGGTCAGCAGTTCGAAACTACCAGCTGTTCCACGGGAGAAAGATGAGGCTTTCTGCTCCTGTAAAGATTTACAGCCTTGGAAACCCTGTACAGTGTCGCTATAAGTTGGAACCAACTCCATGGCACATATCAACAACAAAAACACTGAGGCTTAAATTGGCTAAGTATCTTCCAGAGGAACTTTCAAACTTAAAAAGAATAAGTATCAATCCCATCTTTTTCAGCATCCACCCTAAAAAGGTATTTAAAGTTATTATTATTGATCCCTGATAAGTACTAGGAGCTAGGATAAGTACTTACTCCGTCCTGCAATAACAACATGGCAAAGAAGACTTGAGAAAAAGACAAGTGCTGGAGAAATCATTGTGGTTGGTGATGATTCTCACAGGCACAACCAAAGTGACTTTCCTCTACTAAAAAGAGAGATGCAAATATAAAAGTGCTTAAATATTAACCTTTTGGAGGGTTTGCTTTGATCTTTGTATATAGAGGATAAACGATCACCGTCTCAAAGGGACTCTGAGGCCTGTGTTCTTTAATCATTTACTTTTCGTTTCTGTGTGTCTGTTGGGAAATCTTTGGTAGATGGTGTCTCTATCTCCATGAAATTTATGTTCATGACACCAAATATTTCTTTATTGCCTCTGATGGAATCCCATTGACTCCTAGGTTCCCTGGAAGTCCAGATCTCTCATTCTTTGTCCCTTTGTTTTGAGTAGATAGCAGATGATGCACGAAAGTGAAAGAGCTTCTACTTCAACTATAGCTAAATCTCTGTGCCTCAATCTCTTCACCACTGAAATGATGTTCCAACTTGCAGATGTGTGCTTCTAAAAAACATCTTCCTTAGGTGCCTAAAACTCCAATACCTAAAAGAGCAACCTAATTGTCTTCTGTCTTAAGATCACTATTTCTTCCAATTCCCCTTTTATCCACAATTAGTAAAGATCCTCCTGATAGCTCCAATTATGACCTTAGATCTCCCTTCAATCTTTTCTCATGTCAAATCAATACAAAATCCTGCTCATCTATTTTTAATAGTAGATCTGTCTAGACAGATGCCAAGACGTGTTCCAGAGATTAGAAAGTTGATATGAAATGGCAAGTTGGGACTCAAAGAAGGAAAGATGGTGAGGAAGAGGAAAGGAGGAGAGACTGGGCCAATTCTTGGCAGTGTTCAGAGGCCACCATCCGTAACTCCATAATTCTCTTGTACACCAACTGCTCCAACATTTCTTGAGACACATGAGTTTGAGAAATGTTGGTGTCAGGCAGTGGTTCTTAAACTCTGTTTCAAATAATCAGCATGTTTCATGATAAAAGGAAACATATTGCTGCTAAAATGAAACAACAGTGGTCATTCTCCTTTTGTGAGTAAATCACAATCTACCCACCTCACCATCACCACCACCACCTTGTTTACTAGGTCACTCCTAATGACGTTCTTAACTAACATTGAGTGAGTCTCTAACTCAGAGTGACCCTGTGCCCAACAGGATGGCTCCATTGTGACCCATAGAGGTTTTTTTTTTTAATGTTTTATTGTGAATTATGTGATAGTTTACATGGGAGAGCATTAGCTTTACATTCATTCTCTCGTACATCGTTTCATTGCCATGGTTACAATCCCCTCCATGCCTCATCAACCAACCAAAGGGTATACACTACAAGCCTGCACCCCGGTCATCAGCACACAGCCCCTGTCTCTCTCTGGATCTAAAGTCCCCAACTGCTCCATATCTCCACGTCATCATCTCTGCCTCCATCTCTGGCATCACTGCTTCTCTGGGTAGGGTCCCGCTCTCTGCTCTTCTCCCTTGATGGTCCCAGGGACCTATGCTCCTAGACTGAAATGTTAATATAATCACTCCCGTCCTTGCTATAAAAAGTCTACCTTTACATTTCCAACCCTCACAATCAGTCCTGATAACAATTATTCACTATTGTATCACAAGAGATCCATCCATATTTCATTTCATCAGCCCTGCCTAGACAGATTGGATACTACTCAGTGGAGATTCTACCTTCCTCCACGCCCTCTGGATCTAGGTTCCCTCTTGAAAGCTTGTAAGCCAGTCACTTCTTGCCTTTGTAACCTCCTCCCCATTGTGGGTAGCCAATGTCGACCCATAGAGTTTTCATTGGTGGATTTTCAAAAGCAGATTATCAGACTTTCTTTCTAGTCCCTCTTAGTCTGAAAGCTCCATTGAAACCTGCTCAGTATCACAAGCTTCTACTAACAGGAAAGTTGTGGCTGCACTTTTGGTGTACAGCTGGAAAGTGAACTCATGTCTCCCATATGGAAGGCAAGAATTCTACCACTGAGCCATCAGTGCCCTCACATCACTCCTGTTGTTGTTGTTGTTGTTAACTGTGTCGAGTCCTTGCTGTTGTTGTTAAGTGCTGTTGAGTCAATTCCGACCCATAGCGACCCTGTATAGGGTTTCCAAGGAGCAGCTGGTGAGCTTGAACCACCAACCTTGCAGTTCAAATTACATTACTGTCTGACGCATTAGCCCACAGCACCACACTAGGACTCCTGCGTCAAGTCCTAGACACTCCTTTATTAGGAGACTCTCCTCAATAGGTAAAGAAGACAGAAAATTAACGAGAACCAACCTGTTACGCAGAATGGGACACGAGGTAGTTGAAGATAGGGAGACAAACCACTGAGTCTGAGCACCAGGCAAAGCAAATTTGGAAAGAGAGGGTGGGAATTGAGAACGTTTTTGGCAGCAGCTACAAACTGAGGGATAGACGCTGAGAAGAATGATGATGTGGAAAAGGGTTTCCATGATGCTTGTGGGTGAATGTAGTCCCTTGCATGAGGGAAGTTTCTGGAGGGATGGAGATGATCTGAATCTATATGGCTACTTAGATACACAGGAGCTCTGGTGGCATGGTGTAGTTAAGTGCTTGGCTACTAACCAAAATATAAGTTAGCAGTTAGAACCCACTAGCCATTCACTTTATGCTCAAAGGAAGAAAAAAAAAAAAGTAGCAATTGGCGTCTGTAAATATTGTTGTTGTTAAGTGCCGTCAAGTCAGTTCTGACCTGTTGTTGTTGTTGTTAAATGCCATTGAGTCCTTTCCGACTCATAGTGACCCTGTATGGGGTTTTTGAGGCTGTAAATCTTTACAGGAGTAGAAAGCCTCATCTTTCTCCCACAGAGCAGCTTGTAGTTTCTAACTGCTGACCTGTAGCAACCCTATATAGGGTTTCTGAGGAGCAGCTGGTGACCTTGAACTGCCGACCTTGTGGTTCAAACTGACTTTGCAATCCAATGCATTAACCCACAGCACCACACCAGGACTCCTCCATAAAGATTGTTGTTGTTGTTGAGTGCCGTTGAGTCGGTTCCAACCCATAGCGACCCTGTATAGGGCTTCCAACGAGCAGCTGGTGAGTTTGAACTGCCAACCTTGCAGGTCAAACTGCTTTGCAGTCTGGCACATTAACCCACAGCGCCACACACACCTTGCTAATCCTGTATGTCCTATACGGTCACCACGAGTTTAAATCCAGTCCATGGCAATGAGTTTGGTTTACTTGAGTACAGTAGCTGTCGAACTGAACATTTAAAGTCTGTGCATTTTATTGTATATTGATTCTGCCTCCGTTTAAAAATAAGGGTTCCCTTTCCCCACCTTTCTTCCCTTATTGTCTTCATCTTCCTTCTTACTTTCTTTCCTGGGATGCTCAGAGAATGAATGATAAGGTTAAATCAGAATGATAGCTTATGTCCGAACTGACATAGAAGCCATTTGATGGGACTCTCATTGGACAAATCTAGGGCACTTTGAGCAACAAAATAAGTAATGCTACTAACCCATTATAATGGGTTATAATTTATTGAATAAAGCTGGAATCAATGAGTCTAGCCAAGAAAAATAAACACATTCGCAGATGAATTGGAAAATAAGAAATTTCTGCCAAGTAATAATAATGGAAGGACTACCAGCATTAGAAAGTCACTTTGATGGAAATTATCATAGAAATATTTAATTCTGTCTAGAAATTTCAATGGATGCTAAGACTAGGGGGTGCAAGTGGGATGAGACATGAGATGCTCATCAATTGTTTCCTGAGTCTAAAAGTATTTCCACATAAAATGTTCATTTATTACAAAGGGGAAAATGGAGCAAATTTTAGTGGAGAAACCTGGCAGACACCAACTTAATCAAGTCATCAAAAGTAATCAAATCCCACAGGTAATGGGACAAATTGACATTCTATTTTCCCCTAATAGCATGCAATGAAAAGAACACAGCATTACTTCTGCAGTGTTCCTGCCAAAAATGTAATATGGGTCACACCATTAGGAAGCATTGTACACAGTCAAGTTGAAGGACATTGTCTAAAATGACTGCCCTGTAATCTTCAAAAAGGTGAAAGCCACAAAATCAAAGAAAGGCTGAGGAAGACTAGATAAATAGATAAATATTGTTGAGTTGGCACTGTCTTAGCTGTCTACTGCTGCTGGAACAGAAATACCACAAGTGGATAGCTTTAACAAACAGAAATTTCTTTTCTCACACTTTAAGAGTGTTGTTGTTGTTGTTAAGTGTCGTTGAGCTGATTCTGACCCATAGCGACCCTGTATAGGGTTTAAGAGAATAGAAGTCCAATCAGAGCACCGGTTCTGGAAAAGGTCCTTGCTTCCGTTGAGCATCTGTGCTACCAGCATTCTTTGGAGATCTCTGTGGGTCGTGGTATCAATCTCATCCGGATGTGGTAGTTTCACAATGCGGAAACTATAGGTCCAAAGGATGCCCTCCACACCTGGCTCTTCATTCTTGGGGATAGTAGGTCCCTCTTTCTCTGCTCACTTCTCTCTCCTTCTATATGTCTAAAGAGATTGACTCAAGTTACAACCTCATGCTGCAAATTGCATCTGGCCTCATTAGCATCATAGAAGCAAGAATTTACAACGTTTAAGGAGCTCTGGTAGCATAGTGCTTATGAATCGGGCTGCGAACCTTAAGGTCAGCGGTTAGAAACTACCAGCCGCTCCGCGGGAGAAAGATAAGGCTTTCTACTCCCGTAAAGATTTACATCCTCGGAAACCCTGTGCAGGGTCGCTATGGGTTGGAACCGACTCGACGGCACTTACAAACAACAACAAACAAGATGAAGATCAAAGAGCCTTCTGTATGGATCACATCTCAATGTAAAGAAAACAAAAATCCTCACCACTGACCCAATAAACAACATTCTTATCAACAGAGAAAAGATTGAAGTTGTCAAGGACTTCATTTTTCTTGGATCAATTATCAACACTCACAGAAGCAACAGTCAAGAGATCAGACAACGTATTACATTAGGCAAATTTGCTGCACAGGAACTTTTTAAAGTGTTGAAGA